TGCATTCATGTTGTTTGCAAAGATTTTTCCTAGTTGTCAGCACCGATGGGTCATGAGCCGCCAGAACACATATCGCATTTTTCTGGTCAAAAAAAAAAAGTGTCATTTCTATCTTTGAACAAATTCTAGTAGAACAGAGCATGGCATTCCCACTTGCAATAGTAGAAAACATTTCTCTTAAACTTAAGGAGATAGTGAAATATCAGCAGTAAGTTATGTACTAAAAGGGTAACAGGAAGAAAGACAAGAGGAAAGCAAGACCACAGAAAGCTGTGACTGGCTAGCATTCATTTAATCTATAGGAAATTAGGAGTTTTGATCCTGTTCACAAAAATTGCAGGCCTAGCCAATACCAGCAGGGTTTGGCAGGGATGCATTTTTCACCATGTCTTGGACAGAAGACCAGAGAGTTTCTATCCTTTGGTAATTTCCTGTGCCCTGGCATCTACCCCTCTGATAAAAGAGGCTTGATTTGAGGGAGGACAGAGAGAATCAGGGGGTGGGGAGGCTGGTGGGGGCAGTGTAATTAGGGCTGCCAGCTATTAACCCTGGCGCTGAAGTCACGCCTGAGTCAGCAGAGTTTCGGCGTTGTCGCGTTCCCATTGTGGAGGCGAGTGAGTCATCACCAGGCCGAGCCCTGAGAGCTCCCCGGTTTCCTGCTCCTGCTCTGAGCTGTCAGCCCAGGGAGGGACGGAAGGATCTGATGTTCTCTCTTTCTGTGCCATCGGGTTTATTTTTGTTTTTATTGAATCTCTTCAGTCTCAAGTTCCTTCATTTCGGAAATGAGACTCTCTATGGGTTACTATCTTGATCCCCTCTTCACAGCTCTTCATTAAATCCCTCCTCCTTAGCACCTGGAGAGCTCTAATAGTGAGAATATTTAGCCCTGGACCACGGCTCCTTGAACAACATCCAAAGCAACGCAGAAGTCTGAGAAAGAGGCAGGGCAGAGAAAATACTCGTGTACATTTGGGGATTCAGCCTATCAAGATAAGGTCTCAGAGGTCTCAGGACAGTCTCAGTTTAATTAGCTTCCCCTGCTCAATGCTTCAGCTTCTTTCCCCGCCTCCACACTTGATTTTCCAGCTGTACTGTTCTTTTCTGCCCTTGCTTCCCCACCCAACCACCAAATAAGCATTGGCTCTGAATGTGGTCCCCTTTCTCAGTTTACAGGTCGGAGTTTGTTAGTAAGCAAGAAGACCCTGGCTTTTTCCTTGCTGGCAGGCAACACGATGACTCTTGAGAGAGGGTCTTTGGTCTTTTGTTCTTTGTCCACCCTTGTCTTTGTCTGGCCAGCTGCCTGCTTTTCCTCGTGCAGGATTATGATCCTGGACATAGTCACTGGTGCCCCTCCAGCGGAAGTAGTGACTAGGGATGAGAAGAGGCAAGTGAGCAGCCTGGGCTGTGGTGATGATGTTGGAGAGACACAAGAGGGGTGGGAAAATTTGTAAGGCTAAAACGGAGGGAGGGCAAGTCAAAGAAACTAGCATTGTAGACCAGGTTGAGAGGCAATCCTCTCCCAGCTTATGGAAGCGGGTAGTGGGAGCAGAAGGGAGGTGTGACTTAGCTGTAATGAGTTGCACAAGGCCAAAGGGGAAAGGAGGTGAGAGTCTTCTGAACCCAGGCACTGGACAGATATGAGTAAGAGTGCACAGCGGGAAAAGAGCTGAGGAAGGAGCTGGAGTAAAGTCCAGTCCAAAAGGCCTGGAGGGACAGGCTGCAGGGATGGGAAAGCGGGCCAAGTCCGGCGCACCGGTGCACGTCAGGTAGAGGCAAGGGGCAGGCTGGCTTGCTGCTCAGGTGTGTGGGAACTGGCAGCTCCTGCCAAAGGATTAGCTGACATGCTGGCGGGGCGGGGCGGGCAACAGGAGCTGGCTCCTCCGCGGTGACTGAGGAGCCTTTGTGCTTTGTTGCTGAGCATGGGCTTTCATAGCTTTACTGCAGGAAGGCCTTTCCCAGTGCTGTGTCAGCTCTTTCAGCAGCTCTGCCAGCCCTCCTGCTTTTGCCATGGGACATGTTCCCCTCCCCTTGACTTGGGGGGTGAAGCAAAGCAGCTGTGTGAAAGCCAGGAAAGGTACGGCAAAGAATGAAAGCTGGGAGCAAAGGCAGGCATGGTTGTTCCCTTCCCACTCCTCTGGTTTGCAGCCCTTTTCCTGGAGAACTAGAAGGTTGGCCGCAACTGAGGCTGTTTGCAAGATTGAAGCACAGACAGCCAAGAGCTAGTGGTCTAGTCCAGTGTTCATCTCTGCTTTTCACTGGCTGTTTGATCTGTGGCCAGTCTCACCTTGGCATCGGCTTTTCTTTCATCTATTTCTATGAAGAACACCAAGGACAAACATGGCCTTGGTCTTGTTTAGGGCTTTTGTGTGAATCCCACTGGTGGCTTAATGAATAGACTTCCCAAACCTTAAGAGAGAACAAGCAGTGCATCAATGGGTCAGGCCCTTTGGGAAAGATCCTTCACTCAAGCGGATCCTGAGGCTGCTTTGTGCTCTATTTATCCAAAGAGGCAATACTGCACAGGCAGGAGAAGGCAACCCTGCTTTATCCCAAAGGTGTCTCCACAGTCCTGTCCCAGCAGACAGCCAGTGAAGGGCTGGCTAGAGACCTCAGTCAATACAAGCCATTGACTGGTCCTCAGATAATAACATCTCTGCTGTTGCTGCAGTGTGCTGGTTCTGGATATGAACCAGTGACCTAGAGTAAAAGGCCCTATATTTCCCGCTTGCAAGCCAAAGCCAAGCTCGTTCTTTTTTGAGAGGGATTTGGATGAGAGCCAGATGGGCCATTGTATGTGCTGCCATTTCCCATCAGCTCCCATAAAGCTCCCAGCTTGAAGCTGGGGGAAAGGATGCTTGGGCTTGCAGTTTCTCTTGGTGTGCCCCCACCCGATCACAATGTTATCTCGGGCCTTTCATATGCAGCCCTGTCACCTGGAGCTATAATCTTTCCACATCTCTTTCTCATCTTCTTTCTAAGGCCCCCTCCCCTTGTGTTGGAAACTCAAGTCTTCCTCTTCTAATCCCTTTGGTGTCCAGGCCCCACACTTAAGTAGGGCAGAACTGAATCAGGGCATGACAGAGAGACCTCCAGTGAAAGTCTGCTGCTTCAGGAAGTGGATGTTGGTGAGTCACTGGGGACCACTCCTTCATTGCAGTCGCCTGCAAGCCATATTGAGTAAGTGGGGTGAGGCAGGCAGAGTACTGATTTGAATGCCTAGCAATCAATACAAAGTCAGAAGAAAGGTGTTAACCCCAACACCTTGGCCAAGCACCAGCTCAAACCTTTGCTCCTTGCCACCTGAAGTTCCCCTGCTGGGATTTAGGATCTTCTTTCTGCCTAACACACCTGTGGCATTCGTTTAGGCTGTTGGGGGTTGCATTTCAGATCCTGATTTCAACTTAAAAATAGGGAAGACTTGAAAGATGAATTCAGAAATACCAGGAGAAAAACTTGTAATGTCACCATTTTTGAAAGTTTTGAGCTCCTGTTCTATCCCATTTTTCTCCTCGTGGAAAGTTCTTGGAGAGCTGTTTGAAGTGTCTGTGAGGCATACCAGACCATGTACAGGACATCATTGCCCATAGTCAAGGTGCCGTGAAAGGGGCTGTCTCAAAATCAGGTGCTTTGTGTAGGGTCTTTTGTAGGTTGAAGCATGATGTGTTGTTTTGTCCTTTTGTAAGGTCTGGCTACTGTGATCCTGCAGTTTAGTTGTAAAAGTGATGCAAAGTCTATTAGGACTGATTCCTCTGACATTTGCATCAGCCGTGATATTGCCACACCAAAGGGTGGCTCATCACACTTCTGCCAAGGGCTGTTTCAATGCCCTTCGGGTGAGATGATTATCAGGGAACAGGAGGGAGAGAAATTGGTGAGAGGCTCATCAGAGGCAAGGTTGTGCAAAGCCGTGTGGAGTTCACATGTTCTTAACAAAGAAGCATTGATTGGAGGCTCGCTGTTGTGACAGAGCTCACCGGTGCCTGGAGATCATTTCCAGAGCTTTCTATATGGGGGAGCAAGAACCAGATTTGCAAGTGTGGGAGCCTCAATGTAACAGCACCTCCCGGGCTTTTAAGAGAAAGGGTTTTCAGGTTGAAGAGCCACCAGCTGCCGCTTAGTCTGCTCCCTCTCCAGTGCCCCTCACACCTGGGGAGTCCAGACCTTCCTTCCCAGCCCGCTGCCTGTGCCGCAGGGCACCCCGAGTTCTGCACGGTGCCCCCAAGGCCTTGCACGACCTAGTACATATCTGGGTTTGGGATCGTGGGGAAGTGCATCAACACAAACCACTTCAGAGGCCAAGGTGGAGGAGTAGGATCTCAGAGGTCTCCACTAATGCGATCTTGGCACCAACATACCTTTGGCACTCGGCTGGGCCTCTTTTATTGCTTTTGGTCCTTAACAAAAAATAACACCAAAAAACTAATGAGTAAAGCGCAACTCGGCAAGCTTCAACCTATACAGCTAATCCTTCCTTGTGTGCTGGCTGCCCCCTGGGAGGTGTCGGAGTGGATTGGTGGGCACTGGGAGATCTGGCACAGGAACTGCAAATGGCAGGATGTATCCCAAGCCTTTTCTCTGCCATACCGACCACACACATCATTCAGCAACGAAAAAGCAAGGCGAACCCCAGCACTGCGCATGCACACACACATCCTGCTTAATATGTTCAAGCCTCTCCAGAGACTGATTAGTGATTTTATTTTCTCCTCCTCTCCCAGCCTTGCATGCTCATTGCCATCAATTATCTATGCGATTGCCCTGATGAATTATTGAGTGTATAACGGGACGAGGGAAGACCCGCCGTCCCAGCTCAGTCACCTTGCAAACAAACGCTCCCCAGAGCATGACGGCAGCTAGTTTGCCCTCTGGCTTCTGATTTAGGATGGGGAGCATGGGAAGCTGATCCAGCAATTTGCAAAACCCCTTTTACTCCATCTGTTCCCCTTCCTAATCATTGCTGTTGAGGTGTGGGTGTTCTTGCTGTGGTACGGAGCAGAGCAATGGGTGCGTTATTTCCCTGATGAGAGGCTTGGAGGAGTGGAACATAAAGAGTTTACCCTGTCTTGCAAAAGAGCCATGAGTTATTCAGTCACCTGGAAAGGAAACATGATTTCCGCACAGTGTTTGGGGTTTTTTAGGGTACTTTTTGTTTGTTTTGTTTTGTTATTTCTTCTGCTGTTTTCTTTCCCCTTTTCCCCTGAAGCCTCTAGAAAGTTTGGAATGTGTTTTTCTTAAAGCTGCTACGTGTAGGGGCCTGAATCCCAGCTTTGGCAGCATTTTGTTGTTGGCAAGCAGTCCTCAGCTGGCACCAGCTTTTTGCCCAGCCAAAAATCTGACTCTTTACACCTGGGCAGAGGAGGGTTCTGCAGGACCATTTTGGGGTCTGGTTCAGGGTCAGGTTCATCAGCACCAAAGTCTGATTTTTCTCCAGTTTGTGTCCAGGTACAGTCTGCACTGATGCATGGATCCCATGGCAGGGGGAGGGTAGAAGGGGGAGGGTAGAACTGGGAATTGTTACTACTACTCAAGGTCAAGAAAAATCCCTTGATTTTTAAAACGGTCATTCATTAATTTGCAGCGAAATCATCGTGTAAAGAAAGGGCGTAGTAATGATGAAGTGAGGGACTGGATTGATCTCTCTCTTGTGATATACACCACATTCACTGCCAAGTTGGCTGACAATATCTTTATCTGCAAGGGTGACTCCGAGGAGAAGCCGGTGACTTGCCATCCTCCCCTCTCCGGGGTTCGGCTCATCTCTCGCTTTTCTGGTACTGCAAGGAGGCGCTGGGCCACAGGTTCCTGCTGTCGCGAACGGGGCCTCTTCCATTGGGATGTCGAAAGCCTGGTTCAAAGGGAACCGCTGAGGGCTGGGGGGGGTCAGGGAGCTTGTGTGGGAGCAGGGCCAGCTGTGCCACCGCCCCAGCCCCGGGCAGGCTCCGCTCGGGGGCACGGGCCCTTCATGAAAGAGGTGGGGACCGGTGCTGATTAATCTGCTCTGCTCCAGCCTTGGGAGAAGGAGGGAGTGCTGAGCACACCTAAAGCCAGGCAGCCGTGAGATGGGCGGCAGGTTGTTCCCAGGGCCTTTGCTGTGTGATTGCTTTGGCTCTCCGGCAAGCTCCCACACGCTCTGCGAGGCTCTGAAGACTTCAGAGCCAGGCTGCTTGGCAAAGCTCTTGCTCACCTCCGCAGGTCTGGGCAATTCTGCAAGAGGCTCTCTCACCTCCAGGGTAGAAGGAGCAGCATATGCTGCACAGCATGCTGGAGACATCTCCCCCCTCCCCATCCACCCGTTCTTTCCTCAAATCCCAGCATAGCCTTATCTAAACCCAGCCCTGCTCTGCACCGGGTTGCCCTCATTTCGTCAGGAAGGCTGTTGTGGGCCACCGGCTCCCACAGGGCACAGGCCAGACTGGTGTCAGGAAGGTCTTTCACTCTATCTTGCTGCCTGGACGTCCTTCTTCCATAGGCCAGTGCCTCTGGCTGGCTCAGAGAAACATTGTCCATCTGTGACTTTATCAGAGCCAGAACATCCCTTCCCTCTGGTTTCTGGAGGGACATGCATTGCAAAAATGGCCCTGGCTACGCTGGGAGGGGGAACATGCAACCCTGACAGCTCAGCTGACAGCCTCTAAGGACTTGATGGCTTCATGCATGCAGGCACATGAGGGCACCAGTGCTTTGCTGTGGCTGTAAGCAGCGCTGAAAAACATTCCTCAGCACCCAGCCGCAATGCTAGGGTGTGGGGCAAACCAGCGCTTGACTCAGGGAAGGGGGCAAGTTCACACAGAGCTCTGGAGTCTGAGTTTCGGTCTTAACTGCTGATGGCTGTGGTCAGCTGATGGCATCTCATGGCTGGGCTGGGTTGTTGAGGCTTGTCCTCAGGGTCACAGCCTTGGCACAGAGGGAAGGAGAAGAGGAGAAAGAAGAGGCTTAGATGAGATGTGGGGGCTGAGATCAGGCTGAGCACAGCAGGCATGGAGTGAGGGGGCAACATGGGAGTTTGCCGAGAGACTGGTCACGGTGGTGTTTGTGGGTGAGAAGACTTTGTATGCCTGCCCTTGCGTGTGTGTGAAACTGCAGGAAGGAGACTCTTGCTCAGGTTCACGTGTAGAAGTCACAGGGCACATCTGCCAGGGCTCGGGGGGGGCTAAGACTGAGGAGTTAATTTTGGCCTTGCCACGGGCAGCCTGTTCGTCCCCTTGAAGAACAGGGTAGGGGTGACATTTCAGAAATGCTGTCCCCTCAGTTGGAAGATGCTGTTCTGTTTCTCTTGCTGTGCATTTTTTTCTTTCCCCAGCCTCTCTCTCTTTCATTACCCTTTCATGTTCCTCACTCTTTGTACATCTTTCTTTTTTTATTAGCCCTTTCTTTCCTTTACTCTCAGTCTCCCAGAATACATCCAATTTCAGATTCTGCCAGAAGCAGTGAGCAAAACCCGCTTTTCTTGTTCTTACCAACTTGCTTCTCTATTTTATTTATCATACAAATACT